CTCCATCTATGAGTAAACATATACGTGAATTATGATTGAATGATTGTAACACTGTAATAAAATACTATATGAAAGTTTATAAGATAAATTAATTAGTTCACGAGTTGTTATGCTAATGTAGGAAGGGACATTGCACAAACATCGCCTAGGGAACATGCATATGGATTATGCAGATACATCATACATATGGAAAGCAAACACATAAAGGTCTTCTATCTTCTCACAAGACACAAGAGGGATGTCTCACACGCCTTGAGCAGTAAACATAAGACCAAGAGGGATGTCTATAGATGGCAATACGGTTGTGTTGCGTACTTGGAGAAATTTTGGACCTTGGGATAGACTCCTTCGCTTAAATTGCTACTGCGTACTCTCTTGTTCTTGTTCAAAATATCAGTCAATTTAACACTATCACCCTTGTGTTTCCAAAAAAAAAAAAAAAATCTCAGTCAATTTTGGTGCCTATATGGTTAACTATTACTAATCCTGAATTCCTGCAATTATCATGCTATTTTGCCTAAATAAGGGTTTGAGCTTAATTACGATATGATCTTGCTTGCTACAATATCATCAATTTTTTTTAATCAATGGGTATCCTTGTGTAGACAACGGGATTTGAATTTTACCTTTTTTTAATATTGAGAATAAAGATAGTAGAAACACTAAAAAAGATTTCTCTCCTGAAAAAAACAGTAAATCCCACATTGAAGAAGTATAATACTTGTGAAGTACTTAATATTGTTAACTCCTAAACTTTCGATTGCCGAGCAACATGGGCTTGTGACCCAATGTGGGGGCATTAAAGGTGGAATGTGAAATTGGTCTTACCACGTAGAAAACCTACGGCCCAGTGCCCATGAGAGCAGCTAAGCCCGCCCACTACGAACTTACTGGGCCAAGCCTAGGTGGTCCATTCTTGACCTGACCGCCACCTTTTTACAAGTTTTATTTTTAACTTGAATTTTAATCATTTTTATTTATTTAACTTACTTTTCTTTTTCTTTTTTTTATGGCATTAAAATTCAATTTGTGTAACATCAAGCTAGTGCCATCCATTAATTCAAGATCGGGAGGAAGGAGTTGAATGCCTATTTATTTGGGCAAATTGATCAAAACAAAAGTCTCCCTCTTCAACATCCTACTTGTATACAAATACATCCTCTGATATCAAATTCAAATCATGTTACATCCTCTGCTTATATATTAAGCAGACACATATGGAAAAGAACATTAGCCACAACTTCTTCAAGGTCTTATATTCTATCTTCTCACAAGACACAACAAGAAGAAATGGCTTTCCACATCCGCTCCAACAGCTTCCCCTCAAGGCCACACCTGTTCAAGAAGTCGATGAACATTTGTGTAGATTGAAATCCTTCTGAGGCCACCTCCACATCCTCCTCATCAATCAGAGCCACAAATTAAGTGGCCTCCAAGACTTGCATGATTGTATTGATAGGTTGCTTCAGTTGCCCCTCACTTAACAAGACTTGGCCCATAATTAATTAGAAATTGAATAATGAGCTATTAGATAACTTACCTAGGCTCTTGGATGTTTGCAGCATTGTCAAGGAATGTGTAAAAGAACTTCAATCAATTCCACAAAGAAGGTGGGGAGGGAGGTGACACTGGACTCACAAGTGAGATTAACAAATACTTGACGTCGAGGAAGATGGTGAAAACAGATCAACGTTATTATCTTCCCTCAACTAGGATCATGAGACCATTGCCATTGTTAGCAAGTTGAGAGAAAGTAGAAGCAGTCACTCTTCCAGTGTTTGAATCACTTCCGTCCTTCATCTCCGGGCCAAAGTCACAGACAACAAGCAGCTGGTCATTGGTGTCCAAAGTCACATACAACTACTCATAAATAATCAACAACTTTCAGTAGAAAACATAATACCAAAAGAAATTTTGGACCTTTGGATGAACCTTAAGGCTAGGGCTTCCTTCTGTTGGAAGGACAAACAGGATACAATTTGGCGTGTTCCCCTTGGTATAATCATCCTTTTAACCAATGCGGAAGGAAGATTGTTTTGTAATTAATATAGAGTCCTTTTCTCCTTCTATCTTTAAAAAACAGTAATCCCACATTGAAAAAGCATAACCCTTGTTAACTACTTAATATTGTTAACTCCTAAAATTTTGATTGTCGAGCCTAGTAACGCAGGCTTGTGACCCAATGTGGGGACATTATGTAAGACCCGTGTCTTGGGGAAACAAGAACGGTGAGCAATCCCACATCGCTCGAGGAGGGAAAGGTGAAGTGCTTAAATGTGTGGGCACTTCTCTTCTTAGCACGAGGCCTTTTGGGGAGTAATTTTTTAGTGTTCCCGGTACACCACGTGGTTGGTGTACCATCCAATAGACGGAAGACATATGGAATATGTCCAATGCAGTCCGCCACATGTCATAAGAAGAAATGCAGTAGGTTGGATAATAATACCTGGAACATTTAAAAATTTCTCCCTTTTGGGAGCTCACTGACTTCGGATTCATAGGAACTCCGAAGTTAAGTGAGTTGGGGGCCAGAGCAATCCCAGGATGGGTGACCCACTGGGAAGTTGCTCATGAGTTCCCAGAAACAAAACCGTGAGGGCCAGAGAGGGGGGCCCAAAGCGGACAATATCGTACTAGGGGAGTCGGGTCGTGACAAATGGTATCAGAGCCGGACCCCGACCGGAAGTGTGCCAGTGGGGACGCTGGGCCCCAAGGGGGGTGGATTGTAAGACCCGTGTCTTGGGGAAATAAGAACGGTGAGCAATCCCACATCACTCGGGGAGGGAAAGGTGAAGTGCTTAAATGTGTGGGCACTTCTCTTCCTAGCACGAGGCCTTTTGGGAGCTCACTGGCTTCGGATTCATAGAAACTCCGAAGTTAAGTGAATTGGGGGCCAGAGCAATCCCAGGATGGGTGACCCACTAGGAAGTTGCTCGTGAGTTCCCAGAAACAAAACTGTGAGGGCCAGAGAGGGGGGGCCCAAAGCGGACAATATCGTGCTAGGAGAGTCGGGTCCAGTGCCAGTGTTTCCCCTATGGTTATAGTAGGCTTCTACAAAGATGCTCCCAAGTTGACGGCTAATCTCAGTTGGCTGGTTGGCAGCATTGTGGAAAGGCAGTTGACTTATCAGAGCAACTGTGGCAGACATAACGGCATCTGATCTCACTCTGGGCCGACTGAGACCCGCTCGTGACTTGACCAATGACCACCACCTTTTTACCTCCCTCCTCCCACAACCCACGATGCCAACCCAATTCCTCTATTTTTTTTTTTTCGTTTTTATATGTATTAGCTTTTCGATTTTGAACATAACAAAACATACCTTGCATGCAAATACATCATCTATCAGATATCAAATTCATGCCCAATCTGCTTTGTAAATATTCCAATTATTATCATGCTATCCATGGCGTCAATTAAAGTTAATTCAGAGAACATCTTCCTAACAGATAGATACCAAGATTAAGAAAAATTACACAAAAAAGGAAAAAATAATTTTTTTTAGAAAGTCAATGTTTGACCCGAAACAAATTTGTAGAGGCCAAGAATATTTAAACTATTAATGCAAAAGTTTCATCCTCACGTGGGATAATCTCAAAAAATTCAAAGGAGTTTCTGAAATTATGATTGAGATCACGTGGGATTTTTGCAAGCAAATCAAATATCTCTAGGTAGATGAATAATCAACAACTAATGTCTAAGAGCATCCACAATCATGCTCTCTATTTTTTAGTTAAATTTTAGCTAAAAACATAAATAAATAAAAAAAAAGTTATTTTAAGAGCTCTCTATAAAATTTAAACTTAGGAAGTCATAAATGCTATAACTCTTTTTTAATTGGTCCATCTCTATTAAAAAATAATATTAACATTAATTAAAGGTTTGAAATACTCATTAAATAAAGCAGCATTAAATTATAGGGAGCCACTAGGAGTCTTTTCTATCTCCTCATATTTAGGAGCTCCTAGAGGTCTCCCTATGCTCATTCAAAGGAGTATTTGATGTCTAAACTCGGCCATACGGTTGTGATGTATATATACTTGTACGAAGCATACACAATAAATTCTCCGAAGGCCTTTAATTCTATGCAAGAAAATTATCGAACTGCTCGTAACATAGTTCTATTCTTTTTCCTCTCCTCTCTTGAAAAAACTACATATCCCACATGGGAAAAATATAATAAGTGTTATGCACTTAATATTGTTAACTCCTAAAACTTTGTTTGCCGAGCTTAATAATGTGAGCTTGTGACCAAACATGGGGGCTTTAAAGGTGGAATTTGGAACTTAGTGTAAGACATGGACAACCTATGGCACAGTGCTCTCGGCACGGTTGCTCGTGGGCTACTCTACAGTGGCAACCATGGTGGCTTATCAGAGCAGCTGTCGATCACGCTAGGCCTAGGTTCGCTCTTCACCTGACCGCCACCTTTTTTAGTTTTTTGCGATTTTCCATAACCTATACAGATTTAATTCAAAACCTATACATTTACTTCTGTCAATCTCTCCAGTAGGCAGCCAATCCACTTTTGCTTTGCTTATTAATTCGAAATAAAATGTTTGGGGAGCAGTCCAATTCATAAAGTCTGCTAGCTACGAACCATTTTTCAACATCATGGAAGCATAACGCAATTGCACATGATCATTGAAAAATACAGACTGCAAATCTTGCCTGCTACTTGCTTAATAATCATGCCAAGGACCTGAAAAATAATATGAACTTGATCAGCATATAATTGAGTTTATATGCATTACGGTTAAGCATTTTAGTTTATTGATCTCTTTCCAATATGTTAGTTATGAGCTAAAGTAATGAGTTCATGAGTTGGGATCCAATTCAAATCATGTCCATCTCACTGATATGATTGAAGAGGATGAGATTCCATGTCCCCCTCCTCAACCAACACTATATATTAAGCAAACACAATGGAAAAGATATTACATTAACCACTTCTTTCAAGGTCTTCTATTCTATCTTCTCAAAATACACAACAAGAAGAAATGGCTTGCCACACTCGCTCCAACAGCTTCAACTCAAGGCCACACCCGATCGTTCAAGAAGTTGATGAACATTTGTGTAGATTGAGATCTTCTGAGGCCACCTCCACATCCTCCTCATCAATTAGCCACGAACTAAGTGGCCTCCAAGACTTGCATGGCTCTGTTGATAGGTTGCTTCAGTTGCCCCTCACTCAACAAGCCTTGGCACAAGAGCAGAATGAAAAATAGAAAATAATGAGCTATTAGATGGCTCTCTCAGGCTATTGGATGTTTGTAACGTGCCAAGGATGCCCTGTTGCAAACCAAGGAATGCGTACAGGACCTTCAACCAATCATGCGAAGAACGCGAGGAGGTGAATCTAGAGCACTCACCAGGTCAGGAAATACTTGACCTCAAGGAAGATGGTGAAGAAGGCAATCCACAAGGCTATGGGAAATCTCATGGGATCAATGAGACTATTTCCATTGTTAGCAAGTTGAGAGATGTTGAAGCAGTCACTTTCGCGGTGTTTGTATCCCTTCTTTCCTTCATCTCAGGGCCAAAATCACAGCCAAGCAGCTGGTCATTGGTCTCCAAGATGATGCAGTCAAAAACAGTAGCTTGTGAGGAAGAAACAAAAGTATGAGTTTTCAAAGGTGGATGCTGCATTGAAATCACTTATTGGACACAAGAGAAGCAAATCTCATCCCCAAAGCCATCTTGACAATCTGGAGTCATGCGTTCAAGATCATGAAGAACAACTTGAGTGCTTATTTAGGCAACTCATCAAAACCAGAGTCTTTCTTCTCAACATCTTAAACCATTAGATATTAGCTTTTCAATTTTGTACATGAAAATCAATACATGACACTGTCTTACATTCTCCATTTTATTACAGAACAGTTTCTTCTCACAACACACAAAGAAGAAATGGCTTTCCACACTCGCTCTAACAGCTTCCCTTCAAGGCCACACCCGATCGTTCAAGAAGTTGATGAACATTTGTGTAGATTGAGATCTTCTGAGGCCACCTCCACATCCTCCTCATCAATCAGCCACGAACTAAGTGGCCTCCAAGACTTGCATGGCTCTGTTGATAGGTTGCTTCAGTTGCCCCTCACTCAAAAAGGCTTGGCCCAAGAATAGAATGAGAAATCGACTAATGAGCTATTAGATGGTTCTCTCAGGCTCTTGGATGTTTGTAGCAATACCAAGGATGCCCTGTTGCAAACCAAGGAATGCGTACAGGACCTTCAACCAATCATGCGAAGAACGCGAGGAGGTGAATCTAGAGCACTCACCAGGTCAGGAAATACTTGACCTCAAGGAAGATGGTGAAGAAGGCAATCCACAAGGATATGGTAAATCTAAAGGGATCTAGTTTCTCATCCCCTTGAGCAATTATGGTCACCTGAAAGGCTATTTCATAAAAAGCATTGAATGGAGTTGAATAAATGGCCTAGGCGGGCGCTAGGCGGGGGCTAGGCGGGGCTAGGCGGGCGCTAGGCAGGGCTCGGCGGTCTAGGTGGTCTAGGCAGGCGCTGGAGAGAGAGAGAAAGAGAGAGAGAGAAACGAGGATGACGATGGAGTTATGTTTAGGGTTTAGACAAGGGCCGTGCGGCTATACTATTTATAAAAAATAAAAAATAAAAAAGACCCCAGTAAAGCCGTTCGGCTATACTGTTTTT